AAAAAAAACATATGCCAAAGAGAAGCCACAAACGCCTCCTTCAGGTTAAAAGGTAAAAATTCTGGACTTTATAAGGAAAGAAAAAATCATATACAGAGGTTGCCAAGATCTACTAAAAACAAACCTTCTATCCATGAAAATGGGAAGAAGGAAAAAGAAATACATGCTAGATTTGTGGGTGGAAGAACAGAAACATGTTCCCATTGATGGCACTGGGGACTATCCATGGCTTCAGGCATCCGCGAAGGCTCTTGGAACAAATCCCCCAAGGGTACGGGGTGGGGGGCTACTGTATTTCTGGCCTCACAGTCTTTTACTGGCGACTTTAGTCTCTCAGGATCTCAGGCCCTCTTCTCTAAAATGTATCCCAGAGGACCAGAAATGCACTTTATTTGGGCTTTGCCTGCTTTTGTGGAAGGGAAGGTTACTAGAGGATATAATCCGGTATTTTAATTTATTGTCTCTCCTAAAGGGAATGTGGAAAAAAAAAACAAACAAACCAGAAATTGGAAAGAACCAATATTTAGTTTATTTCATTCGATTCTCAGGGCAACTGGTGAGGAGCCTAAGATAATTTTCCCTTCCTAGAGGAAGAATCCAAGGTTTAGGGAAATAGCTACTTGGGAGTCCAAGACCACCCCTGCTAGGCCTTACTTGGCTACTCCTGCTGCGATTGCAGGATAACTCTCATTAGCAGGAGAATCCCGCATGTGTGGATGAGTAGAGAGTGTGTTGAACAACTTGCAACATTTTATGAAATATGCATTGTCATGGTTGCATTGTGATGGTTTCCTAAAAGGCTCTCCGGAAGCCGTTTGTCTTTGCTAATCAAGTCTTTACTTATAAAAAATTTTAGAAAACATGCTAACAATCTTCTATTCCCTTGAAGACCAGAGTAGTAGAAAACAGGAGATTTGCATTATAAAATTGCACTCACGTTTTCCTTCTTTTGGATTTCACATTACAATAGCCCATCTGTGGTACAGTGTTTAAAAAAATGGAACAGGAGCCCCCCACCCCATTGCATTGTTCTCCTTTGAAAATAGATCACTAACACGCTGACTTTGTTTTTCTTAAATTAGAGTTTTAACAGGAGAGCTCTCTATTATTTCAAATGAAGTGAGGTTGCACTACTGGGAGTAAAGAAATAAATCCATTAATTTTGGGGGGATTTCTGTTAGTTCCAAGACCATCTTACTTGAGGTGGGGGGTGGGCGCGGCGGTCGGGGCAGTGGAGCGCAGTCGCGGCTGCGCCATCCCTGCACTTCCAGGCGCGCGGGAGGGACCGGCGGGGACGCGAGTTGCGGACTCCGGAGAACAAGGGGAGGCAGACACGGGGAGGCGGACACTCAGCCGGTAAGCGCCCCAGCCTTCCCGCCGCTGGCGGGTTCTTTTCCTGACAGCTCCAGGCAAGGCAGACTCTTTCCCCAGCCAGCCAGGTAAGGCAAAGACTGCTGTTGAGCTTGCTGTTACCGAGGGCGCACAGACCCTAGGGAGACCGAAGCTTGCCACTGCGGGATTCGGTGGGGTGATCCGGGTCTACTGAAGTGTCCTAAAAGAGGGGAGAAGGTTTGGCCTTTTTCCTACAAAGGGAAGGATTATTTTCTCTAGCATTTCGTTTGATGTATTCGATTGGAAGAAGTGAGATTTCAACAGGTAGCAGAGAGCGCTCACGTGGAGGAGGTTTGGGGCGCTGCGGCGCACCCCCTACCCGGGACAGCGGCTTTTTCTAAAGCTTACATATCGACGAGCTAACCTATGCTTTCAATTCCCCTTCCCAGCCCCGTGAGTCCGCGGCGACAGTGGGTCGTGGAGTGGCTGGGTACGGCCCCCTCCTCCAGAAAAACCAGAGAAGGGCTTGGAGGGCTGAAACCAGCGTCCACGAGCAGGTCCGTGCGGACCCAGACTTCGGGCCAGCTGAGTCCTGCGGGGCGGCGGTGGGAGACGCCAGGTCACCGGCTCCTCTGTCCTGGTCGAGATGGACAACGCCTCGTTCTCGGAGCCCTGGCCGGCCAACGCATCGTGCCCAGGCCCGGGGCTGGGCTGCTCCAACGAGTCGAGTCTGGCCCAGCTGCCCGCGCCGCTGGCGGTGGCCGTGCCAGTCGTCTACGCGGTGATCTGCGCCGTGGGGCTGGCAGGCAACTCCGCGGTGCTGTACGTGTTGCTGCGGGCGCCCCGCATGAAGACCGTCACCAACCTGTTCATCCTCAATCTGGCCATCGCCGACGAGCTCTTCACGTTGGTGCTGCCCATCAACATCGCCGACTTCCTGCTGCGGCAGTGGCCCTTCGGGGAGTTCATGTGCAAGCTCATCGTGGCCATCGACCAGTACAACACCTTCTCCAGCCTCTACTTCCTCACCGTCATGAGCGCCGACCGCTACCTGGTGGTGATGGCCACTGCCGAGTCACGCCGGGTGGCCGGCCGTACCTACGGCGCTGCGCGCGCGGTGAGCCTGGCAGTGTGGGGGCTCGTCACTCTCGTCATACTGCCCTTTGCTGTCTTCGCCCGGCTCGACGACGAGCAGGGCCGGCGCCAGTGCGTGCTGGTCTTTCCGCAGCCCGAGGCCTTCTGGTGGCGCGCGAGCCGCCTCTATACGTTCGTGCTGGGCTTCGCCATCCCAGTGTCCACCACCTTCGTCCTCTACACCACCCTGTTGTGCCGGCTGCATGCCATGCGGCTGGACAGCCACGCCAAGGCCCTGGAGCGCGCCAAGAAGCGGGTGACCTTCCTGGTGGTGGCGATCCTGGCCGTGTGTCTCCTCTGCTGGACGCCCTACCACCTGAGCACGGTGGTGGCGCTCACCACCGACCTCCCGCAGACGCCGCTCGTCATCGCCATCTCCTACTTCATCACCAGCCTGAGCTATGCCAACAGCTGCCTCAACCCCTTCCTCTACGCCTTCCTGGACGGCAGCTTCCGCAGGAACCTCCGCCAGCTGATAAAGTGCCGCGCGGCCTCCTGACGCCCCGAGCATCGGGCTCCCCACCGGCCCCGCCAACCCCCGCCCGCGCAGGAGGAACCGGCGCCCGCGCCCAGAGTGCGGGACCGGACAGGCAGCCTCGGCGTCGCGGGGAAACTGACTCGCGCCCCACCCCTGACCTAGCGGATGGGAAGCGCTGCGGAGGCGCCCGCGGGTTGACCTTGCCAAACCCTCCTGGTGATGCGCGTCCACGCTGGGTGAGGAGCCGCGCGGCTGAGATCGCCACACTGATCACTCCCTAACGCCAAGGTCAGGGGTTGACCCTCGAGTTTGGCACGCAGACCAGTGTGGAGGTAGAGGAGGATAGAGGAGGAGGGCAGTATTGCTGGGACCCGCCCCCTCCCTGCCGTGCTTCCTGCTACCAGATCCCAGCCCTGGCCGTCTGCCACCTGGCTCGAGGAGCAGCTCTCCGCGCCTTTTAGGGGAGGCCGGAGGACGCTGCGGGCGCCCCCAGGCGTCGGCTCCGCGAGGCCTCTGCTCTACTTGGCGCGCAGCCGCCAGTCCCTGCGTCCCCCGCGCGCTCTGGGAAGAGGGTCAGGCGCGCGCATTCGCGCCCACGCCGGTGAGACGCGCTTGTCCCGGACAGCTGCCGAGGCCGCCAGCGCCTCTTCAACGGGGCAAAAGACAACTCGGGGTGCCCCACCTGTGTGTGTGTACATCCCGGGGTGTGTGTGTGTGTGTGTGTGTGTGTGGTGTGCGCGCGCTCGCGGAGGCGTGGGATGCGGGGAAGGAGGCTTGCGATTGGCTGTGACTGTCTAGAATATGATAATAGTGATCTTTCCTCCTGCCTGTCCCAACTCCTTCTTTCTCTTCCTTTCCCCTTTCTTACCCGTGATATCTCCTGAAAATGTCTCAAACTTCCGGAGCCAAGAACCCCGAGTCTCCTGGGCGCGCCATTCCGGCGCCCCCTTGAGGAGCCGGCGGCCGGGCACGGAGCACCGCGGGGTTCTGCGGTGGAACGCTGGGGCTGAGTGCGCTTCACAGCGATGTGGCGCTCTGGTCACCGTCACTTCTAGAGGACGCCAAGCCTCACGCCCGGTTCCCCCAATTGGTTTCGCCTCTTGTCAGACTTTGACCAGTCTGTTGCAACTGTTCATTAAGTACTATTTTCCAGGACTGAGAACTTTATAAATAATGTACATGTCCTAATCTGACGAGTTGCCATGAAGATCAAATAAGATAAAAAGAAATGGGATCTATTTCCCTTGTGTCCCCTTTCTCCTCTGTGCTTCCTGGGGCCCGCCTTAGGAAGAGCAGGAAGCAGGGATGACCGACGGCTTCGGATTTTCTCTGCTGGACTTTCCACAGGAAGCTGTAAGATAAAGCTGGGCTTTATTCCTTAGTTATAGAGGGCATCTGGTAGGTAGTCCGGTAAACCGGTAAATACTGGTTCTGGAGTCACCAGGGAGACTGGCCAGCATCCTACCTTTGTTTTTATCTCTGCATATGGAAGACAAAGTGGATTAAGATAGTGGACTGATACTGGGTTTGCCCTGTCCTCTGCAGTTTAGCCTTAGACATGAGGGCCGAATCTTAACAAAACTCTGGTCATCGATTATGGTGTTTTAAAAGGTATTAATCCTTGGGGTGAGGTCCAAACAGTATGAAAATTTCTAAAAATGTTTCCTATGTCATGTGTGAGAAAATATGTGAGTGTTGCAGCAGATTTTGTTTACTTAATTCGACTGGCATCGTTAATCAATTTCTGTTATTCCAGGTTGAAAATAGCTTTTAATACATATTTGGAAGGAAAAAAGCCATCACCTTGGAATGGGGGGAAGCAAGCCCCTTCTCTGATTTTGGTAAATGAGAATTGCTTTCTTAGCTCTTAGGGTTATTAGGAACATTGAAATAATTCGTAGCCATCAGTTTAGAAAATATACATTATAAAACCTTCTGTCCTGGGTGGCAAATAATAGTAAATTGTTCCAAAAAAAGTTTTCATCTGCAGTGAGTTTTGAATGGTGAACCTCATAGTATTTGAACAGGCTGGCTTTCAGAGGCTTCTTGGAATTCATTTTAGCATCCTTAGAATTTCTAGGAAACAGTCTATTGATTTTCCTTAAAATTCTCAAAATTATTTCATGAATCCTCTGTAACTTTTCAAAATTAAAGTTTTAAACTTAGAGTAACTTTTAGATTACCTAACGGGATGAACAGAGTAAGGTGAACATGTGTCTACAAACACAGCTAGGCATGACTGTCTGGATTCAGTATCTCATCTGTCTTAATAAGCTCAGTAACTGGACACAGATGGAGGACAGCTGAGTGATCCATCTGTCCACTGCTTCATCCCCATGGTAGGTCGGCCTGGAGCTGTCTTGGAATCTATGGAGATGGCTGCTGGAAAAATACACGAGTTGACATTGCTGTTCATCCCAAGCAAGGCATGGACTGGCTTCTGAGTAAACCTGTGGGATTACGTAGGACTTAGTAGTTCAGTTTCTCCCAGGCTTTCTGATCATTGGATAAACCGTTGTATTATTATTTCTAGGTCATTGCCCTTCATATGAGCATGTAGAACGTATGTCTCAGGCTTCCTTTCTATGTCTCCGGTAATAGGTTGAATAAATACGCACATAAGCCAGGCAAAAGTAGAATTTATTTACCTCGTTGTATTGCGAAGGTTTTAACACTGTATTGAATTCTTGTAGTTTCTGTGTAAACTCTGTGGTTTGGTTTTACCGCTTTGAATAGTTAAAAATGTCTATTTGCTTTTACTTAATTTAGTACAGTTGTATAATGTATATGCTTATGTTTTCTCTTGAAAAATGCAGAAACTCTGTAGTCCATTGCAGAGAAGCTCAGTTTAAAATAAAAGCCGAAACATTCTGTGTGATAGTGAACATTCTATTTTCTGAGAACATGTTATCCATAATTCAGTCACTTTAGCATTTAGGTTGAATATACGCTGTGTAGTGTTATTATTTAAAACTATTGCCTTCATTGGAAAAGTGATCTAATGAACACTCAGTGAACAAATCAAAGTATTTGACAAGACAAGATTAAGAATGAACAGCCCCACCCCACCTTTTAATTTAGTTGATTGTGAAAATGTTGTAAACCTGCCGATATACACAGATTCCAGAACTTACACTGGGCAGAGAAAGGACGCTAAACTTTTATCATATCATGAAAAGCCTCATTTCTTAAATATTGGAGCATCTATGTGGAGGGCGAGAAGGGAAGGGAAATTGCTTAAGTTATTAGCATACACATCGCTATCAGCAGTACGCGTAGACATAGCACAAATATGCAAGGTGGAGAATCTCACCTGAAAAACCAATGAACTTATTATAAACACTTCTTTCCTCAGTAACATTCTGGGAAAACAACAGCGACTCAAAAAACAATAACTCACCTTGGATATTAATCATCTATGCTCATGTACATTAAGAAAGAGATCAGAGAATCCTGCCCATAATGGTCTTTTATTACGGCCTTCGGGTCCAGCACTTGGGCCTCCATTTTACATACAAAAAAGTGACTATAAGGACGTGGATGACTGTAGCCAGCGCCACAGAGATCAACGAAGACCAACCTGAACCATCAGGTTCCCATGCTATTCTAGGAATTGTGTCATCTTGTGTCAGCAGAGATGGAATTGGTTGCAATGTGTAATTTGGGAGCATTAGACTAGAAAACAATGATGTCTTTTAAATATTTAGTAGATTAAGCAAGATGTATCTACCATTAGCTCATACGGGATAAAGGGAGGGTAAGATTTAATAATAAAACTTCAATCTTAATTCAGAAACTTACAAATGTATGGGGTTGTTGATAGTTACATGAGAACAAAAATTCCTAACAGAGCTGGCACACAAAGGCACCACGTGCACAGCGGCCCCTGTGCTTTATGTACGGAGAGCTGTGCTCGAGAGGCACTGTTCACATAGGATACAATGCTAATGATGCCTCTGTTTCTGCAGAATGGAGCTTTGCAATGGATGACGCTGTCCTTGAATATAGGGCTAGGGATGTTTATTTGTTTATATCATATCTCATAATGTTACATGGGTGACATCACATTAAATAAAAAGAAAAGATGGGAAAAGGGAAGGAAATTTAAAATGATATTGTTCAGAAACTGTTAGAATGCATGAACTGCATGCTTCCCACAGTCCTGAAGGAGATTTGTCTTGTGCCTGGAGGGCAGTAGTGCACACAGACCTGATGCCCTGCTGGGCCAAAACCCAGAGAACGGCTCAGCATCTTCTAAAATCTAGATCCTCTCACAAAGACTGTTCAACCAGAAGGTTATCTCACCTGCATTCTGAGGTGACCCAAGGACCACAGTCACATCTGCAATAACCAGGCCACTGAGCACCACGGAAAGTGTGGGTGGAATTTCACTATCAATTGTGTGTAGTCAACAATATGGGAGAAATTGCGAGTGTTCCCGAAGGTGAGGGGCACATCATTTGTGAGGGCCAAAACAAGATGGATATCTTAAATCATTCATCCATTTGGCAAAGCAGCTTCTTCTTTTGGGAGGTGATGAATGATCTGGCAGAGGAGAAAAGGCCAGCCCTATTCAGTCACTGTGGTATGAATGCAGCAATCAAACCTGAAAAGATGTAAATATTTACATCTGCAAAAGTACCAAGTGAATTACCCACATTCTCCTACATAACACTGTTTTGATTCCTTTAACTCCTCTCTTCCAATAAAAATACCACTCCTCATTGCTGCATTTCTATTCATTGTCTTTACGGAAGGATTCCAGGGGTCCTACTTAAAAAGAAGTTATATAATTTCTTTAAAATAATTGCATCTTGGATTTATCATGACAATTTATTATTATGGTTAAAGATTATAGTGAACCTTTAGAAACACTTATTTAAAATGAAAACGTATTTTAAATGTACAGATTATGTTAAGTAATGAGGTTTCTTATGACTTTTATACTTTTGAAAGGAAGAATACATCTATATAAGTTTTCTATTGAATCTTTCAAATGATAATGAAAACAATAATCCATATAATTTTTTGAACTTTTATTTTAAAATGTTGAGCTCAATTTGTGTTTAAATTTTATGTTTGAAATTGTTTTATTTATTTAAACAATGAGGTCTCACTATGTTGCCCAGGCTGGACTTGAACCCTTAGCTCAAGTGATCCTCTCGCCTCAGCCTCCTGAGTAATTCAGACTACTGGTGAGTGCCACGTTGCCTTGCTTGAGATAGTTTCATTTTTATCAAAGTGATACATTAATTTAAATTGCATTTAAAAACATTAAAATGTAAAACATTTCAATAGCTTTAGTGTACAAATGGTTTTTGGTTACATGGATGAATTGCATAGTGGTGAAATCTGAGATTTTAGTGCACCCATCACCTGAGTAGTGTACATTGTACCCATTATAACACTCTGTGTGCCTTTTGTACCCATAGCTTAGCTCCCATTTATGAGTAGATACTG